TTCCGACTACATTACATTTATGCAAGAAGAGCTAGCAGAATTTGACATAAATCAAGTGTGTACTCTTATCCCTCCTCCTCCTCCTCCTCAGGATCACCCTATTGTTGGTACAAGATATATATTCTGAAACAAACTCGACGATGCTGAAGTAATCATCAGAAACAAAGTGATATTGGTAGCCGAAAGATTTACTTAAATTGAATGAATCGAGTATGATGAAACATTTTTCCCCTGTAGCTCATCTTAAAGCTATTATAATCTTTCTTGCTTACGCCGCTCACAAAGGATTCAAAGTTTACCAAATGGATGGTTAGATTGCATTTCTTAATGGTGAACTTGACTCTGAAGTGTATCTTCAACAACCTCATGGGTTTGTAAATCTTTCGTATCCATACTGCTGTTACTAACTTCAAAAAGTTGTTTATGGCCTCAATCAAGCTCCACGTGCCTGGTACGAGACACACACTAATATTATGAAGTGTTCCAGTTTTCAAAGAAGAATTCTTGATCATACATTATTCCAAGGATCGAATGGAAACCATCTCATGTTACTTCAAATATATGTCGACGACATCATTTTTAGATCAACAGATCTAACGATAGTTGGTAATTTTGTAAACGTAATAGTTAGTCGATTCCATATGAGTATGAATCGTGAATTAAGCATCTTCCTCGGACTGCCAACTAAATATACCAACAGAGGAATCTTCATTCATCAAGAGAAATATATTTATGAACTTATGAAGAAATATTTAATGGAAGCATGTGCATCTGCAAAGGTTCCAATGTGTTTCGGACACAAGATCTTCTCGGACACATCAGGTGTTGCTATTGATCAGATGAAATATAAGGTAATCATTGGATCGCTATTTTACCTCACTGCAAGTCATCTGGACATTATGTTCTCTATATGTATGTGTGCTAGATTCCAGGTTAATCTAAAGATGTCTCATCTTCTAGACATCAAGCAAATCTTTCGATATTGCAAAGGAATCAAGCAAATATGCGCTCTCTAACGGAAACATTAGAAAGTTCAATAATTCCAAACTAAAACATTTTCACCCCATAATTGTTTCTTCTCGAAAAATAAAGAATCGTTATATGTCTTTTTTGTCTAACATTTCCTCTAGTCTTATGCTTTTCAGCCATCCTAATCATTTGAAGTTTGGTCTGATATAGTTACATAGAAAATCCTTGAATATCTCACCTTAGAATGATATCTCTAAAGTACACCTCAGAATTCAAATCTGAGATGGTAATGTAATTTTGTCACCTACCTCCCTCCGAGCTCTGTTCCTTCATTTATTGGAATTTCCACTCTGTTTCAAAACTTGTCCTCTAAGATCTTCATGCATTTTTACCTCTAATATTCAATTTGATATTTTGGTATCTCGAATTCTATTTTAGGTACTAATGATGTGTTCAAATTATTTCAGAAGTATCTTATGACATCCCATATCGGAATTAGATTATTCTAAGATTCTCTACAATAAATAAATTTTAAGGTTATCATTAAAGTTATATTCCGAATTATTTTCATAGATTTATGAACAGTAATTTTCTTTATGATTGTCCTCTTAATTCTCAATAAACATGCTTTGGCACACGTTCCAACAAAGTACTGAGTATTTTTCTGAACTGAATCGATGGTTACCCCTTTTGAACAAACAAACGTCCCATCTTTTGTTTGTAATTCTCACTTAGGAAGCCCTTCTGGGCTATGCAATAAATGTAACCCATTTTGGTTTTCCAAGTGTCATCATTTCATTCTTCGACTAGACCCGAAATATCCAACCTATATAAGGATTTTTAATCCACTCAAATGGCATCCAAAGCTTCCAACGTGTAACTAAGAAGAAATCATCCAAGGGAACCGCTTCATCCTCATCCATAGAGTTCATACTCAGAGAAACAACCCGATTGTTTTCTTTACATTCCATAGATTATGATGAATTTATATACATCATGACCGAGTTCATCTCCCACTATCATATTGTTTTTACTCTCACCAAAATCCCTAACCCAAGTTTTCCTTCGTGACTTTCTGCACAAAGATTTTGAACGAGTGAAGATCGACAAATATGCTCTTGAAACAAAAATCAAAGACGACATAATTGTAACGGTTCACAAAGCTACCTTCCTTAAGGCCATTGGAATTGCAGAAAACCCCAAAGGTTTTTGAGTGCGAGAACCAACGTCTGAAGAATTTTAGTCATTTTTTAGCCAAATCGGTTAAAATAGGGAGTTCAAGGTAAAGGAATTTAAGAAATCAGTTGTTCTTGGTCTTTGGACCATCTTAATGCACTTGATTCTTCGAAGTTTATTAGGAAAACATGGTGATACAGACACCATGAGCAAAGACTGACTCTACGTTTTCTACAACATGTTCACCAAAAGAACTAACATAATCGGCCTACCTGAGGTGCTATGGCAAGATTTTTGGATGTTCGCAGTCAAGAGGAAGCCTAACGAGATTTAGAGTCTGAGATTTTGGGCGCTGACGAGAGACATGAAGTCATCCCTCTCAATTCAGACATCGAAGAGGTATAATATACTTTCAAAACTATTGAGATTTATAGGTTACTGAGTTAATCTGCCTTTGGACCTATTAGAAGTCTACTCGAGCATATTTTGTCCATGGTTCCATTCGACTCATCACATCTCAAACATCATCTTTAGATATCGGTTGTGTTTATCCCAACATAACCTACCTTGATCTCGGATGAAACCCCCACGGATGATAACAAATCCACAACCTACGGAGGATGCATGAAACATCTTGCCAAGCTAAATGCATCTCCTTCTTAAGTTCGAGCCAAAAAGAGAACCAAAGCCAGTGAATCCTCTCAAAAGGATTCAAAAATTGGCATTCTATATGTCTCTGGATATCCGTCTACCCAACCTGGTCACTCTTTCGAAGTACCATTCGAAGCTTCAAAATCACTTACACACACTCACGGGAAGTCTACTCATAATCTACCGCCATCTCCTAAAAAAGATGGTGTTTTTACTGAACAAGGTCCCTTGAATCTCCTGGACACACTCATGAGTCATTTCGGAAATCCCTCTTTTTTCTTCACAAGCACAATTAGGGGCCCCTACCTATGATTCTAAGCTTTCCAAAGTAGGAGCGGTCCCTCCTACTTCGAAAGCCACAATCGGTGTGATACCTTGTTCAGGTATAGGACGATTGGGTGTTTTCGACGATAGTTGGTCCGATTTTGTAGACAGGGCTCATTCGCGGCATACAAAGCTTACTAGAGAACAAGTTGAATACACCCTCATTTCTATGCATCAACGTACTCTCCGAATTCGTCTTCCTTTCACTTTCCCATCAAATGAAGAAACAGATCAGGAGCTTCAACTATTCATCAATGCCTTGGAGAAGCCTCTAAGTGTCGAGGCTCCCATTCCTCACAACATTGAATATGCTCCACCAACATTTTCTAGTGCATCAGGTCCTGAGCCAAATGTTGAAGAAGATCTTTCTGAGGAGATCATATTTGAAGATATTAACTCTTCCGTTTGTGCTGTTCTTATTCCCGCTGCCCTCAAGCTTCTACAAAAAAACTTTTTCCTCGAAACACCATTTTGAATTTGGCCTCTCCTCATCTGAAGAATCTAAAGAAGAAAATCTTGATGGGAACAAGCTTTCGTCTCCTCCCCATGAAGGCACCATGAATCATATTCAAGATAAGGAAGCTCAAGATACTCCTGTTGACGATTCCAAGCCTTGCGAACCAAATAGTGATGAAAATGAAGATGATAAGAAAACTAAAAGTTCCACCTTGGAAACAAAATCCTTAGATGAGAACATTGCATATCCTTTTTCCCTGTTGGAAACTCGAGATAATATTTCCTTACCTAACTCTAAAGTCGATTCACTTGATTAGAAGGTCGCATTCCTTGATTCAAAACTTGATCAAAATGTTACACACCTTGATTCTTAGATCGATCTCATCCCAAATCTATTTTCAAGATACAAGTTGTTGCTCCCTTGGAACTTGACCGAGGAAATTAGGTCGACCGGCTCATTTTCCTTTGTCTCAAGTGCACTATCGAAGAATTTGAGCAAAAGTAAAATGACAGTCTCGATCATCACATCTCCACCACCACCATCATGCTTAAAATCTATGATGATACGATTAATGCTACCAATGAGTTCATCAAGCAGACTGATGTTCGTCATGAGAAACAAATTCAATGCCTTGAGAAAAGATTCATCAAAAAGATGCCATGAACATGGTCATGCAAGAGGTGATCATCAAACTCATTCGATCAACTTGGAATATTGTGTATGTTCTGAACAACAAATTCGATGAGATGCTTGTCATTCTTGATGAAACATTTGCCCGCCTCAAAGCCCAAGCTCCTACAGTCGAGGCATACGACTCTCTCACCAAGCAGCTCAATACAAGTTTGCAATGAGTTTTTGAATGATTAGAGGAACTCAAGTCAGAGTATGTACTTGCATTGGAGGCAGGGCCATCCCGTGCAAGAGGGGGGGAAAGAGAAAGAAGAACAATTTAATGGAAACCTATCTCGAATTTTGTGCTAAAAAATGAATTAACCGGTGATGAAATTTTAGAGGTTGAACCTCTTGAAACAGACGATGAAGAAGATGAAGAATTAGTTGAAAACGTGATCTTAGGACTTCAAGCCATCAGGAAACAACCAGTGAAAGCTCTTTTGGAAGCAAAAAAAATGAAATGGTACTCGATTTCGTGGCCATCATCATTATCAGAAGTGTTCAAAAGGAGTCAAGACATGGCCAAGCTCAAAACCAAACTGACAATTGATGCATTTCGAGCCACTCAGTCCATGCTTCCTCCTATTCCTACTCCAAGGATCATTCAAATTGATGAAGGTTCTCCCACTCGAAAACATGATGATATCCCTGAAGAGCCACTGATTCCTTCTCCATCCAAAATATTCATCATTAATCTAGTCGCCAAATCATCATCTGCATTTCTGGAAAATGTGACAATCCCCAAGATAAAGGCAAAAATATTGCTATAGATTTGGACAGCCTAGTGAAGACATTTAGAAAGTCTGAGGGCTGGTCTCATGAACAAATTAATCAAGCATTGGAAGAAAGCATTCGGATTCAAGTGCTCAAAGAAAACCCAAATCCGATGCTGAGAAATTTTCCTCTTTTCTAATAAGGAACCATTCATCACATACATTTCATGCCCTTTAGGTATTTTGATCATCCAACTCAATATGCTGATTAACCAGACTTGCCAATCTCTCCATATGGACGCTTCTACATCAAGTTCGCACCTCTTCATCCAAATGATGATCCTCAAACTATCATCCAAACTAATTCTGAGAGATTAGGCACCTTTTATACTACCAATGCACAACCCCAAAAGGAAGTGTGGTCCCAAAAAAAGTATCACCAAGATAGTTGGTCATGGTATAAAAGTCCGGAGCAAGTTTGATCTTGATTGTCTCTTCTACAAATATTTCATTTCTCAGAACAAAGAATCAACCATCACAATCCCGGATGCTGATATTCCTTCGTTAAATACCAATGACATTCTTGGCATTGCTGCTCACCTCTAAGATCATCAGTCAAATGATTCAAGCATTGGAGCCTACAACTCAGCTAACAGATTCCTTAAGGACTACACTGTTATTGATCAAATGTAGATTTTGCTCATTTTTTTGGAACAGAAAAATTCTTGGCAAAAATCACTATCAGACTTCATGAAACTCAGATTTTAGATGAAGGACCAATCAAAGAACCTAAACATGCTTACATCTATCTCAAGAAGAATACCAATCAAAAGGAATTTTTCTGAGTGCTAGACAAACATCTTGTTCCCACCAATATTCTCCAAAAGTTCGTCACTAATGTGGCCAAGAGTGATTTTTCCGAGCATGTGAACAAGAAATTTATTGAGCATCTCAGATGGTACATCGAGGTCCGAAGTTGGCTTTAAAAGCCTTATCTATTTGTGTTTTATGAAATTAAGTGACTGAGTCATATGATTTCTTAGGTAACTTAGGGGGAGATTGTTCATAAAGTGTTCCTTAGCAATCTGAAGTGAAGCCTTTTCTAAGGTAGAAGAATACCAAGATGATGCCTATTCTGAAAAGAAGATCTATCTGAGACACCTCCTTTTATTACTTCCTATCTGAGTCTGTATAGTGCATTAATTGTTCCTAGTACCATCTTGTCATTTAGTAGTTGTTTTATTGTATAGTACATAGGACAAGATCAACAGATGCGGCTTTGACAGTTTGTTGATCTTCATTTGTCTTCTAGTCCATGCACTTTATGTGATTTGTCTTATTTATCTAACTTCTTTCCTATTTAAGGAGATGTAAGGTTGAATGTTTTTACATGCATGAGTGCAACATTCTCTTTCATATCAATACCAAGAATCATTCATTCAAATCATTCTCTCTTGAACACTTTGTCGATTATCTCTATTTCGAGACAACACTGGTTTACCAGGCTTGACTGGATTGTTAATAGCTGCAGACATTGATCTTAAGTTAATTCAAGGTTTGAGTTTTCAAACCTTGTCCACACAGATCGTTTCTTGTTCTCACATAACTTTCGTAGTTTTAACTACTTTCCATTTTGACACTTTTGTCACTAAATCTTGATAAGAGGTACTTCCATTCATGGATTCATTCAATTAGTTCTCATAAGCCTCTTGGACTCGTTCTTGAGAATACTTTACAAATTAAATAGATGGTTAAGTAATTAGATGACTATTTGAACATTCTAAGAGTACATTCAAAGAACTAATAGAATGTTGATGAGATAATCAGTTTAGAAGAATTCATTATGCAAAGAGCTACATAAGATGCTAACTTCAAAATGAATATATATAATTATGAATTACAAATGGATTATGACTTCATTATGGAATGAAGAGTACTTTTTTTGTAGGGATGAGGTTCAAGGAAAACATAATTGCATAATCTTCTAAATAAGAATACACTACTAATTCAAAAGTTGAAATAAAATTTGATTGGATAAATGAGTTCATTGAAAAACTATGTTGATTTATGTCATTCAAGAATCACATAAAAATCTTTGTGACTTCGAGAGTATACTTAATCAAGCTAAGAGAATCTATGTCACTAAAGAGCACCAATCATATTATCTGAGATATTTAATTATACTTAGAGTAAAGTTTATTATTGAGATGAAAGTATTCGTAGAATTCACACAAATTAAATTTAGTCAGACCCATTAATCAAGTCCTTCTTTTGAGCTAAGTATGAATGTTCACACTTCAGTTGTAAGACTTTATTATTCTAGAAATGGAATTTTGATTTGAATTTAGTATTTAGATATTGGAAAATTAAGACAACAACTATTATATATTGGTTTGATATATCGGGATATGATCATCACATCAATACTTGGTATGTTCTATATTAACATGTTTAATCCATGAATAATCTTATTATTATAAAGGATCATAGTCGGTTATAATTGTGGGAGCAATTATGAAGTATGACTAATATGATTTGGATTGGTTGAGTCTCACTAGATGAAAGTAGGCAAGTGGTTGTAACAAAGTTTCATAGGTACTTATTAGGGAACTAGTATTGAACGGAGCTGCATTAAGATCAACTCATAGATCGCAGTTATGTGTGATCGATCCTTAATCGGACAGTTATAAAATCCATTTTTAGGTATGGTGTGAGCTATACAAGAGGCTTATGTAGTCAACATGGGATTTGTTCCTCTTCTGTGTTGAGAGTTAGACATCTAACACACATCACCCAAAGTTAAACACCAATGAAATTGATTGCGATCAAAGTCTCACGTTCAACAAGAATTCTATAATAAAGGGATAACTGATAAACTTACCGTAAACATCAACGAAAGCTTTGGTCTTTCAGTAATTGGATGTTGATAAAGGGCATTCTTCTTCATGTGTCACTGGGGGATGTTTCTAGACGTTCACCACTGTCGATATCAATCTATGATGATTCTATAGCAAGTGGGAGATTGAAAGATCTTGTATGCCCAAGAGTCATTATAGAATGATATTACTATAACATATGATCATATAGGGTCACACCTTATAGCAAGTTACCATCAATTGATAATTTATTAGTATAATTTGATTATTAATATATATACAACACTTGTATTTGATTAGAATATTATTATTTAATGAAAATGATATTTTTACTAATTGAGAATTTATTATTTAGGGAAATAATATTTATTGGAGAAATAAAAACTTATGAAATACACCATAAAATATGATTATTTATAAGATATATCATCTTGTTAAACTAGTTAGATTTTATTTGTATATAAATGTGAATTACATAAAAGAGATAATTATACATACATAAAAGAGATAATTATACATACGTAACTAGTTATATGTGTTATACATATATTTTAGAAATCAATCAATCATATATATATATATATACACACACACACACACTTAACTAGTTATATAAACCAGAAGTTGGGATAAAGAATGGGTTGCTTTTAAATTATTTAATATGTTACACCATGCTTGTAAGAGACATGCTTTACCTTTGTTTATTATATGTTCCATGCATGTTAGAGACATTTTTTTTCTTTTGCTTTATGGTTACACCTTTTTTACATTTTATGATATAAAAAAGGAAGGGACTTGCAAGCATTTGGTGCTAGTTCATTTAAGCATTTTCTTCTTTATTTTGAGCCTCGAAACCAAGAGCAAGTGTGCACTTAAAGGGCTGCCAAAATCTCAAAAATAATGTCTCTCCCTCTCCCCCTTTCTCTTGTATTTGGTGCTAGATAAAATTTCATTTGTTGGTTCACCTTTGAACATATATTTGGTATATATTTCTATGGCTTATGAATAACAAATTATAAGTGAAATACTGTTGTGTTTTGGTGGTTTCTTTCTTG